TGAATGGATGTCAAATAGGCAAATACGAAATTGAAGAAAACAGACTAGGACTATAAATTCAAAACATCACATTAGTTCTTTTGATATGTGGCTTGCCCTTTAATCTGCAGTGTAGCCCCTGTTTCTCCATGTTTCCGGTTTCTAATTGCTATGAAACAAACCACCCCCAAACTTTGCAGATTGCAGTAACTCCCATTCTGTTTGTTCATGAGTCTGTGGATGAGAAATTCATTTAGGGCTTAGATTAGCATTTTTTTTTGCTCTCTGTGTCATCAGCTGAAGTCATTAATTCACCTGCATTCAGGTGACTGCTTTGCTGGGCTGGAAAGTCCAAGAAGGGCGCAGTCCCTGTGCTTGTTTGCTATCTTGCTTCTCCTCCCCATGACCTCTCTTTCTGTGTGCTGTCATCTGGAGCTTCTTCAGGATAGTTAGACTTCTTGACTCCATGGTAGCTGACTCCCTGTAGGGAGCACACCAAATGGGGAAGGTGGAATCTTCAGGTATTTAAAGACTTATTTCATTTATTTTAAATTACCTCATCACAGTTTACTTGTCAGATGAAATCACAGGGCAAGAAAAATTGCTTATACCTCTCTGCTAAGTGGCAAAGAATTTGTGGTTATCTTCAGTTTACCACATCATTCCGCCTCATGAAAAACTGAGTCTAGACTTCAGGAATTAGCCAGTTTGAAAGAGAGACCTGTTAAATATTGAACAGCAGAACTAGCCAACACAAATTACCACAGACCACTCATTTATTATCTATAAGAATAGATTTATATGATGTTAAATAGTTTCTAAAATATATGTAAGTTCTAGAAACCAACCAAGTGTATAAACTCTTACATAAAGAATATGATGAATTTTATTAAAATAACTAGGCAAGAGAAAAAAATAAGAAAAATCCTAGTGCAGTTTGATGCACACAATGAATTCTGTATTATAGCAATGCAAACTATGTATGTGAAGAATATATATTAGTCAATATAAGATATTCATTCATAGAAATTATTCAATTATAGAAATCTCAATTTTCCAGTTATAGTCAGTTTATTGGGCACTATATTTTTCCTGTATTGTCTGAGAAAGTCAACAGAGTTGGGTCTCCTTAGTTCTGAGACAGTATATTCCTGAGAAATTCAGGTGAAGTATTATGTGGTCATTAGAAGATAGCTGGTTCTCGGCATCCTACATACTCATGGAGGAGGAGATAGAGAAAGTGGGGGGAATGCTAATTTTGAATTTTCAACCGTTCTATGAAGTGATATTTTTATGGGGATAATAAGAGATGTTGAGAATGTTCCTTTTATAACACACTGATATACTTACTGCAGTTTCTTTTAACCATAAGAATATATCATTCAGAACTTAAAATAATTAAACAAAAACAATTTTAGGCATTTTGGTAAGCTGGAGGGGGTAAAAGACAGGCGAGAGGAAGCTATCCTTCCTCATTCATTTCTCTAAGCTGAGGGTCTCCACAGCTTTCCAGATTTGGTTCCTGTAAAAGCAGCACCATGTGTACCTGGTTAAGAAGTGGAGCAGGCGGGGAGAGGGAGGGCTTTATGAGAGGTGGCCTGAATCCTGGTGGGACCTATAGGTCTCTCTTACAAATATTGTCTCGGAATCTGCTTTCTGCTCCTGGATGCACATTCCAGTGCCAGGTGTACCATGCATGCCCTTTTTGTGACCCAGGCATTAAGTGACATTTTTCACATTTATTTCAAGGCACTTGTACAGATTGGCTGCTAGGTGCATACCAGGCAGTATTTAGAGTATGGAGGTTGGTGGCAACTAGAAGCACCAGGGCTCACTCCCTTGTCCTTAGGGCCTGTGCTCCTACCTTGCAGTGGGGTCTAAGCCACCCTCAGGGTGTTCCCAGCCAGAATTGTCCTGATAAATTTAATGAGCTGGAGACCAGTCACAGGGAGTACCTGTCTTTGCCCTCAGCATTTTCACATAACTGTTAAAGAGCATTCAAGGGTCACTTGAGAGGGGGAGGGGGAATGAGGAAGGTGGTGCATAGCTCTGAGCAGGGGGAATGGAGAAGGAAGTGCCCATAGGACTTAATTTTGGTGGGAGAGCCTTGCAGGTCCCTGGAACCCACTTGACACGGAACATTTGTATTCTTTATTCTATTCATATATTATTACTCACCTCTTCCCACTGCTGCTTCTTTGAGCCAGTGATAAGCCCTCTGCTTTCGCTCCCTCCCTCTCCACAAAGTCACTGCTCAGTTCTGGGCACTTGTGACCAGGCCATTCCTGTTTCCCTGGATTTTAGTGCTCCCTCAGAGGGAATATTGTGTGTGTGTCTCATCTGGTTTCCTTTCCAACTTTCTGTGCTATGGGGATGTAGGACCAGGCCTAGGGCAGCATCTGCCTATCATCTCACAGGCCTACCTGGACTCACTGGACTCACAAGAATCTAAGACATACAATTGTTCAGAGGAAGGGCATGCAAATTCCAGTCAGAGAGGCTGGGATGGTTGTATGGCACTGTCAACCAATGGATCTTCGATTTTTAGGCAAGTATGTATCTCTGGGATCCCAGACTCCAAAATGTCCATCCTTGCCCGTGGATAGATACAAGACAGCCCAAGTCTACCACAGCAATTGTGCCTTCAGGAGTAGAACTCTGGGCATCGCTTCCTGTATCAAGAAAGGTTGGAGCTTGACACTATTTCTGCCCAGCCAATCCCACCTTCTTTGAACTCTGAATGGGTACCATGGTCAGAAACTTACTTCTGACATTTCCCTTCTTCCTCTTTCATTTTATCGATTGATTATTTTGGAGCATGTAGCAAATACTGTCAGATACCAAAGATAAAAGTGTAAGCAAAAATGAATCCCTGCCTGCTTCCAAAGAGCTTCTTATCTAGTGTGGATAGTCCAGGTGGTTCCATTCCTCCTATCTTCTATTTTCACCAGTATGGTCCTTTCTTCTATACTTGGGCGATGACTCTGTTTCTCTCCTCTCTTCCTCTTCCATGGGTGATCAATCAATTCTATTGTAAAGGACCAAATAGGATTGCTTCAAAAATATATTTTGCTGTTTTTATTTCATTGGTCATCACCTCACAGACTGAACAGATAGGACATGGTGGACAATTTGAAAATTATTTTTGGACACTTGTGCAGCTACCAGTTCCAATTTTTATCTCAACACCCGTACCCAGAGAGTCTTTATTTGCCTAAACATTTATGGAGCCCCTACTCTGGCCTGGGCACTTTTATGGGCCTGAGGGATAGAGCAGCTGGCAAAGCAAAGGCCCTCACCCCATGGGACTACATTCTAAAATTGGAGACAGATTGTGAACAAACTGCTGTATGATATGGTGTCCATTAGATGATAAATGCTATGTTCATCAATGAAGTAGGGAAAGTGGTTACGGATTGCTGGCATAGAATACACAGTGCACTGGTGGATGAGGTGGTCAGGAAAGTCCTCTCTGAAACCAGCAGGAGAAAGAGTCAAGTAGCTAACTGGGGAGAGAACCTTGCAAAGCAGAAGGAATCAAAGATACAAAGGCCCTGAGACCAGAAGTTCTTGAGGTGTGTGAGAATCGGCAAGTAGGACGGTGTGATTACAGCAGAACAGGACATGTAAAGAGGTGTAGGAGAAGGAGCAGGGTCTTATAGGCTGTGGCCAACACATTTTATTCTGAGTGGGAAAGAAACTGGTGGAGAGTTTTGAGCAATGGAATAAAGGGATCTAACTTATTCTAAAAGATTTCTGTGCCTATCCTGTGAAGAATATGATAAGAAGTGGAGAGTTAAAAGCTAAGGAATTAGTTGAAGTAGTCTGGGTGAGAAAAGAAGTTTGGGATCAGGGTAGTAGTGGTAGAAGTGACAAAATGTGATTCAATTTGAAGATATATTTAGAAAGCAAAGCCAAGAATATATGTTGGCTCTAAGGTCCCAGACTCAAATCTGTTGTTCATAACTACTTGAATAATCACATTCAAGCTAGTAAAACAATTATTCTAGAACACAAACTTCTCAACAGTTTATTGGTTGTTAAGCAAAGAATATTACCCATCAGAACTTGAAACACAGAGCCAAAGACAGGGCACCTACAAATGACTATTGGATGCTGATTTTTGCAGAACTTTTCATCTTGCAACTATTTAAAAATGTATACGATATCATTTCTCAACTAAAGGCCCCTTTTAATGTTGCTTTGTCATGAAAAACGGGACCCCACAAGGGTCTTCATGATTCTCAAAGGATGTGGACTCCCACAGTGAGGACAGAAGTGTCAAAATTTCTCTCGCTGAGATTTAACAGGTTAATAGGTGCCTGGTCAATTGATGGGGCTCAGGACACAGTTCAGACTAGCAGGACAAGGGTACAGGGACTGGCCAGAGTTGATGGCAGCGCACTTTAGGGCTAAGGCCCAGGCCAGCCCCAGCTCCAGCCCCAGCCCCAGCCCCAGCCCAGGCAGCAGGTAACTGGAGCGCTATTCCTGGAACAAAGACAAGCACTATGGGGGGGGGGGGGGCGGGGTAAAGGAGAGAACAGGAGGACAGGCAAGGGGATAGGACCTGGTGGGATGTCTGGTGGGAGACAGATCCACAAAGGAACATTGTATTGTATGAGTCTGCTGGAGAAAAGGGTTTCAACTTGAGCAGGTTGGCCCTCTCTGACAGATGGGCCACAGCGCTGGTTCAGTCCTCTGCTAATATACTCTCCGAATCGGAGCCCTGTGATCAGCGGCACCTAGTCTCGAACTCTCAGTCTCTGGAACAATCACTCCCCTGCTGCTCCGCGCCCCTGCGCTCCCTTTCCTGGACACGCCCTCCAAGTCCAACAACTCGGTCACCCGGCCCTCCCCGCCCTGGCCACGCCCCCACGCTAGCAGCACCTTCCCTGGCCACGCCTTTCCTATGGCGCTGCGCCGGCGCACCGGCGGCCCTAGTGGACTTGTGGGCGGAGCTGGCGCAGCCGCCGGGATCCTGCTGCGCCGCCCTCCCGCCCCTAGCCGCCGCGCGCCTCTGAGGACACGCACTTCCTGCGACGCCTCGGTGTGCACCTTATCCGAGCGGAGCCGAACCACCTAGCCGAGCCCAGCCCTTGCAAGCAGTTCGCAATGGTGGACGAGCTGGTGTTGCTGCTGCACGCGCTCCTGGTGCGGCACCGTGCCCTGAGCATCGAGAACAGCCAGCTCATGGAACAGCTGCGGCTGCTGGTGTGCGAGAGGGCCAGTCTCCTGCGCCAGGTACGTCCGCCGAGCTGCCCGGTGCCCTTCCCCGAAACGTTTAACGGCGAGAGCTCTCGGCTGCCCGAGTTTATCGTGCAGACGGCGTCTTACATGCTCGTGAATGAGAACCGATTCTGCAACGACGCCATGAAGGTGGCATTCCTAATCAGCCTCCTCAGCGGGGAAGCCGAGGAGTGGGTGGTGCCTTACATCGAGATGGATAGCCCCATCCTAGGCGATTACCGGGCCTTTCTTGATGAGATGAAACAGTGTTTTGGCTGGGATGATGATGAAGACGACGACGACGATGATGAAGAGGATGATTACTAGGCCTGTAGCCTCTTGGGCCTAGAGGGGGAGAGCCCTGCACGCCACTTCCCCCCCTACCCTGCCACTCCTTGAGCCGGCTGTACTCCTCCCTGCGCTCTGGTCCTATCCCCTTGCCTGTCCTCCTGTTCTCTCCTTTACCCCCCCCCCCATAGTGCTTGTCTTTGTTCCAGGAATAGCGCTCCAGTTACCTGCTGCCTGCACTGGGGCTGGGGCTGGGGCTGGCCTGGGCCTTAGCCCTAAAGCGCGCTGCCATCAACTCTGGCCAGTCCCTGTATCCTTGTCCTCCTAGTCTGAACTGTGTCCTGAGCCCCATCAATTGGCCAGGCACCTATTAACACTGACCAGATCACCCACCGTCCTGCTGCCACCACACACCCAACTGCCAGGCCTACGTCTGCCCAGAGACCTGTGTTGCAACGTTACCACCACGTACCACATCCCACCGACAGACTTCTGCCTTTGGAGATAAGGACCAATATAGACTATACCTGAGTTTGCTACACTTCAACAGACACTGATTTGGACAGCTCACCCACCCCTAAAGGGGCCAGTCTAACCGCCTGGTTAGTTCTCTGCCTACTCCCAGGGTCCTTCCCTGCCCTATCAGATTGCTGCGGGAGCCTGCTGTGCCTGGCAGCCCAAATGTTGACATTTCTTTTCTCTTATGCACATGGTTTTGCACAGCTGTCATTTTTAATTCAGCAATTTCACAGACGTTCGCATTTGGACAAATAATTCTAAAAACAAGCAAATAAACAAAAACAGGCACTTAGCTGAGCTCCTCTATACTACCTGGAAAAAGCATTTGCATTCTTTTCAATAAACATCAAGCACTACAAAAAAAAAAAAAAAAAAAGGAAAGAAAAAAGAAAAAAAAAATGATTGTCTTTTAATGATTAAGTGCTGTCATTGACTTCTGACTCTCATTCTATCCCCATTATTTCCACTGAGATCGGGGAACCCCAGTATATCCCCTCTGTAATCTCTAGACTACACAGGACAGCAACCTTAGGGCTTTGTAGGAATTCTGGTGCTCCCCTCACCCTGGTATTTCTTAGAACCTTGGTGAAGGGGGTCCTCTGCAGCATCCAAGGTGAGGGTGGCTGAGTAAGTAGTTCATTTTCCCAAATCTGGACACTTTTGAGAATGAAAGGGGTCACTATTAATGATTGCACTGAAACACCGGCATATACCTGGACACAAAAAGTTCCTACTTCTCTGAGTTTTTGGATTCCTTAGCACTATTAGGGAAGTTCTGCTCCTTAGTCCTTGCTGTATGTGGGCTGTTGTTGAGTTCATGCTCCAATTGAATGTGTCAATATAGCACATTGTTTTAATGCTATTTCTAGATGCTTAAGTTAACATTAAGTCTTGTATCCTGGGTTAGTGCACCCATAGTGAATATGGCCTCATCTTAGCATTTCTCCTTCTTCAGCAGTTAGATATCCTTAAAATTCTCACTCATTCCGGTGTCTGAGATTCCTGCCTTTACAAGTTGGAAAGATGTTTAATTACCTCTGTACCAGATCTTGTGCTGCTGCTTGGGCTATGTTGAGATCTCTGGATATGGAGGGTTCAGAGGCAATGGAAAGGTTGGGTGGGGTGGGTGGTGAGAAGAATCTGCATGCCTTTTAAGTCCACTAACCCAGGTTAATTCACTTAAATATTTAAAGCAGAGAAGCTTTGTAGGAGCCACCTCTGGCAGCCAAGAAGGCGCAAGAGGGTTTGAGGAATTCAGAGTTCCCATTCTCATATCTACCTGCATGTCCTCATGTTTCCATGCCTGGAGCAAACCCACCCTTAGGACTTCTAGTTGATTTGATTTTCTTACTGTTGAAGGCCTTTTGAAGCAGAATATTCTTTTATTTGTAGTGGTAAACCTCAGTGGATTAAATGAGACACTTGTCATCATATTAGTAACCTTATAGGTGTGGATTAAATGAGATCTACCCATAAGGCATTTAAAGCTGCCCCTGCTACATTTTGAGCACTCAGTAAACATGAACTGTTACCCCTAGACTTGGGAAGCAAAGTCTCAGGTAGCAGTTTTCTGACTGTGAGCTTGGCTTTAGTTGGTAAATGTCAGGTGAATAGGCGCAGAGCAGGTTCAGGGAGAGTGGAAATATCATGATAAGATTCTGTTTACTCTTTGGGGACTGACATGAAGCCAGAAAGAAAACCATTTTACCTGGTGAACAGGCAAAGTCCAGTGTAGGAGTCATTTCTTGGGCTTAGGACTAGACGTTTCTGGAGAGTGACAACAGATATGCCTTCCCAAAGAAAGCTGAGGCCTGGCTGTGGATGAGATCTGGGCCTCCTTCCAAACCTGAATAAAGATGATTACTGGTGATCTAGGATTCATGAAACACTTCCCTTGGTCTCCTTGGAAAATATACCAAGATCCTTGGATGTGGGACAGATTAAATTTGAGACAATGTGTATGAGGCCAGATAAACATACCTTTTTCCTCACTAGATAGGACTCAAACTGGGAATGGCTGTGGAAAAGTGGTAAACAGGAGCTGAAAGTTAGGTAAAGGTACCAGTGAGACCAAAAAATCAGCTAATTCCAAATGTATCATTACCTAGGTATTCTGAGATGAGCTAGTGATACATTGATGAGTGAAATGTGGTTCTTACCCTTATAGACTACTGATTTCAAGGTGCCTTGAGCCAGAATTGGGATGATAACTATTGACACATCAGGCAGGGCCGTGAAGAGATTAGGTCTGAGAGTGCCACCCTTTGGGGATGGAAGTTGAGGACATGAGATCTACTCCCTACCACTGAGCCAAGAGAACACATACTCTGAGGAAGGAAGGGGTCCCTGATCAGCAAGGATGCCATGCCAAGGCCAAGTAGCATTCAGGAGAGCTGGACTAAGGAGGTGGGTGACCAGAAATGCACATTTCCTGAGTAGTGTGCATGTTTGTGCGATGTTGCCATGACCTTGTTTGTCTACCCATTTACACATGTGTGTAAGTTAGGTCATGTACTTCGCTCATCATGGTTAAATAGGTTATGCTGTGACCTGCAGGAAGGAAAGTCTGACACTGTGTACCTTGGGGGCAGATTCCACAATGAGAGCAGATACTGGCAAGGGCTCTACCCTTTGGGGAGGAATTTACAAAAATAGTCTAAGGCATTGAGCAAGAGAAGGAGGAAGTAGACATGCACATTTGCAGATAAAAGCAACACTTAGATGAAAACGATCCAAGTTAGTGGGGATGCTGAAATAACAACTATGAACTTCTCACTCCTAAATCCTCATCTTGGGGATGCTAATATTGAAATGGTCACTAAACTTGAAGTGTTCACTGAAATTATACTATTGTTGAAATTAAAGCAATCATATTAAAGGCCATGATCATTTAATCATATTAAATCTATCACTATTCTTTGGAGTATATTCAAATAGCTAAGTACTACCATCCATTAATTCTGTATTGCTGTGTTTTAGAGAATGATACAATAGAATAGAATATGTACATTGTATATATTTGATTATTTCCTGCTCTTGAAACATAGTGAAAACCTCAGCAATCTGGAAGAAGACTGGCTAGAAGGAGAAATCTTGTTGAAATTAGTGGTCTATTTGCATTTAAAAAATTAACTTTCAAAGATTTTTCTATATTCTTAAAGCAATTAAAACAAACCTGAATAAATGAGTGTCAATTTAAGATCCAGAGTATGTTTTCTTCAGTGGCACATTTGAGTTATTGTATGAAGAATGCTTAGTATTTGCTTTGAAATATGGATTTTGCTATAATGGTGTTAAAAATGGCTGGTAGCAGTTTGCATTACCAAGTAGGTCAATTATATTATTCTGTGCACTTAGTTCTAAGGGTAGACTGTCTGGTGTCCTGTGACAGTGTTGGTAACCTCCTACCTCCCTTAATGAAAATCTGATCATTCACCTTGCATTTTTTTTCCTTCTTGCCTGAATGGCCCTGGAAGATTTGTTCCTTTGTCTTCAAATGTTCTGTTGTCTAGAGACTTCTTTTTTTTTTTTTTTTTTACCTTAAGATGGGTAATAGTGCACCTGAAGGAATTATGATCACCATAGAAAGATGTGTTCATGGAGAAGTGCTCTGCTCAGCTAGCTGGGGGCTGGTGAGTTAGCAGTGGGGGTGCTTTGAAGGTTGTTTCAGAATAGCCAGAAACAGCAACATTTGTCTGCCCCCCTCCGTCTCCTCAGAGGTTGGTATCTGAGTTATGATAACTAATACATTTATTTTTCTTATGATTGTATCCACAGCATGTGCTTACTGCCCATCCCCTCCCCAAATGACTGATGATTTCATCAGCAAAATTGCAATAACATCTCCCTAAGTGACCAATGATTTCATCAGCAAAATTGCAATAATATAATTCGTATATTGCAGGCAAAGCCCCTCGACAGTCAGTTTAATTGAATTGACCAGTCAGTTCAGAGTCATCCAGTTAGCTCAAGATACAAAGCTGTCACACAAACTGTTTTATAGGGCTCATTTTGAAAAGTTTAGAGTTACATAATATCAGTAAAAGAAAGGGCATTGTATTTTAATAGTAACTGAAATAACTGATGTTTTGGATTTTTCTGTTCTCTACATTCATAATCGCATTGCCATATAGAACTGTAAGAAAGTGCCCATTTGAATGTATACAATAAAAACTTCAAACACATATAGAAATGGAGAAAATAGTGAAAGGAGCCCCCATAGATTTATTTTCTGCATTCAAAAGCTATCAACATTCTTGCTTCATTTAGCCCTTTTCTTTCATGGTATTTTTATGGAATATTTCAAACAAATCACAGCTATCTCATTAGTACCCTCCTTCAATAATTCATTATGTTTCTCTAACAGATAAGGCCTTAAAATCATAATCTATGGGGCTGGGACTGTAGCTCAGTGGTAAAGCGCTTACCTTGCATATGTAAGACACTGGGTTTGATCCTCAGCACCACATAAAAATAAATAAAGACACTGTGTGTTTATCTACAACTAAATAAGTATTTTTTTAAAAAAATCATAATCTACAGTATCATCACAACTACCAATTAATGATTGCCTTAATATTTAATAATGGTATAATCAATTATTTCCAGTGTTTTAAAAATATCTTTCTAATTGTTTATTGGAAATAGATCCTAAAAATGTGAGCGTATTGCATTTGATTCATATATATATTTAAAATTTTTTTTTTTGGTTTTAGCTGACACAATACCTTTATTTTATTTATTTATTTTTATGTGGTGCTGAGGATTAAACCCAGGGCCTTGCACATGCTAGGCAAGTGCTGTACTGCTGAGCCACAACCCCAACCCTGCTTATATTTTTTAACCTTCTTTTAATTGACAACAGCTCTTACCACCCTTTTGTTGCCCTGCAATTTATTCATTGAGGAAACCAGGAATTCCTATGGAATTTCCTGTATTCTGAATTTACTTTATATTCTTCATACCCTTTCCTAATTTGTTGATGGCTTGTTAATTTTTCTCATATCATTTTCGAAGCTCTTTTAGCATTGAATTTTATTTTGTAGAAGCCTGAGACTAACCGGACATTTTCTACTCATTAAGCTATTTAATACTTTTACTTAAGACCAGAGAATTTTTCTTTATTTTTAAATAGGATGTATCTCAATGGTATTTGTTGTCATTTTTTTCCTGAAACCTGATGTCAGTGTTAAACCTGTAGATTTTCATTTATCCAAAACTTCCAACTATTTCCTGAAAAAAATATATTTATTATACACATACAATATATATAATATGTGTTTATGTTCACTCTGATTTGCCCTCCATATTTAAAAATTTCTCAGACTTTTCACATCTTCATTTCCATTTCCGTCTGCTTACTTTTCTCAA